TTTTCGAAGTCTATTTAGCTCTAAGAAGCTCTAAGAAGCTCTTTCTAAGTCTATTCAGCTCTAAGAAGCTCTTTCTAAGTCTATTCAGCTCCAAGAAGCTCTTTCTAAGTCTATTTAGCTCTAAGAAGCTCTTTCTAAGTCTATTTAGCTCTAAGAAGCTCTTTCTAAGTCTATTTAGCTCTAAGAAGCTCTTTCTAAGTCTATTTAGCTCTAAGAAGCTCTTTCTAAGTCTATTCAGCTCTAAGAAGCTCTTTCTAAGTCTATTCAGCTCTAAGAAGCTCTTTCTAAGTCTATTTAGCTCTAAGAAGCTGTTTCTAAGTCTATTTAGCTCCAAGAAGCTCTTTCTAAGTCTATTTAGCTCTAAGAAGCTCTTTCTAAGTCTATTTAGCTCTAAGCCTCAGCCTGCAATTTTTTCTCAACTACTCTCAACTCGAAAGCCCTAAATCTCCTCTATAAAATAATGCAAAGCAATTTTGAATTGAAATGATTATTGAAGGCGTTGGGTGAGTTTTTGAGTGAAATAGCTCTTTTACATCTGTAGATGAAATCAAATGAATAGCGCCAATCGATTCGCCGACCTCAAAAACCCTAGAGATGCAAATTTCTGGCTGAATTTCTTCATTTAAGGCCATTTACAAAGCCTACAAAGCAAAAGATCTAAATGAAAGTCAAAGAAAAAAGAGAAATAGCAAAGATCGGCGATAATGTTTTGTATTTTTTTTTTTGGTAAGAGATTTGATTTTTAAATGAGTAGACTAGGAAAATGGCAGAAGAAAGGACAAAGAAAAAGATGGGAAATCGGAAAAATGAATCATCGATTAGGTCATTGTTCTTTCTTTTCCTTAAAAAAAACCCTTAATTCATTTATTGGGCGCCTCCTTTCATTTATTGGGCTTAACAAAACTAAAAAGAAGAAAAGTTTTTAGCTATAAAAATACACAACAATTGGTATGCAATTGTTTTTTCAACTCTAATTTGTTTTCTCAATCTTTTTTCAATCTTTTTTCAATCTTTTACAGTAGTTTATTATATATTCTCAAGGAAAACGATTTTTCGTTGATTGGATACGATTTTTGGGTTGATTTTTGATTGAGACTATACGCGGCTTCATATAGGCCATAATATAATGCGTATATAAGGCGTATTTAAGGCGGCGCATATGTAACACGGTGCGTATATAAGGCCACGCGTATATAGGCCGCGTATATAAGGCAGCGCGTAGATAAGGCGGCGTATATAAGGCCACAATATAATGCGTATATAAGGCTACAATATAATGCGTATATAAGGCTACAAGATAATACGTGTATAAGGCCACAATATAATGTGTATATAAGGCTACAATATAATGCGTATATAAGGCTACAATATAATGCGTATATAAGGCTACAATATAATGCGTATATAAGGCTACAATATAATGCGTATATAAGGCTACAATATAATGCGTATATAAGGCTACAATATAATGCCTATATAAGGCCACAATATAATGCGTATATAAGGCTACAATATATGCGTATATAAGGCCACACTATCAGGCGTATATAACGTGTATATAAGGCTACAATATAGGGCGTATATAAGGCTACAATATAATGCGTATATAAGGCCACACTATCAGGCGTATATAAGGTGTATATAAGGCTACAATATAGGGCGTATATAAGGCTACAATATAATGCGTATATAAGGCTACAATATAATGCGTATATAAGGCCACACTATCAGGCGTATATAAGGCCACTATATAAATCGTATATAAGGCCACAATATAATGCGTATATAAGGCCACTATATAAATCGTATATAAGGTGTATATAAGGCTACAATATAGGGCGTATTATAGGGCGTATATAAGGCTACAATATGATACGTGTATAAGGCCACAATATAATGTGTATATAAGGCCACAATATAATGCGTATATAAGGCCACGCGTATAGAAGGTCACGCGTGTATAAGGCGGCGTATATAAGGCCACGCGTATCTAAGACGGCGTATATAAGGCCGTGTGTATAAGGCGGTGCGTATACAGGGCATATAAAAACCAATGTGCCAATGTGTAACCGCTGAGGTAAAACCACCATTCTGACACCACGAGATGCCATCAAAACTCAGCCCTAAAGTTTCCGTTACGCGAAGTGAGCCACTTTTTTATGGACTACCCTGTATATGCACCGCCTTATATACGCTGCCTTATCTACGCGCTGTCTTATATACGCGGCCTATATACGCGTGACCTTATATACGCACCGGGTTACATATGTGCTGCTTTATATATGCTTTATATTGTGGCGTTATATACGCTTTATATTGTGGCCTTATATGCGCCTTCTTTTGTGGCCTTATATACGCCTTTTTTGTGGCCTTATATACGCCTTTTTTGTGGCCTTATATACGCCTTCTTTTGTGGCCTTATATACACCTTTTTTGTGCCCTTATATACGCCTTCTTTTGTGGCCTTATATACGCCTTTTTTGTGGCCTTATATACGCCTTCTTTTGTGGCCTTATATACGCCTTTTTTGTGGCCTTATATACGCCTTCTTTTGTGGCCTTATATACACCTTTTTTGTGCCCTTATATACGCCTTCTTTTGTGGCCTTATATACGCCTTTTTTGTGGCCTTATATACGCCTTTTTTGTGCCCTTATATACGCCTTTTTTGTGCCCTTATATACGCCTTCTTTTGTGGCCTTATATACGCCTTTTTTGTGGCCTTATATACGCCTTCTTTTGTGGCCTTATATACACCGCCTAAGACGTGCTATTTCTACAAGAAAGCTACCATAATCCTTCACGAAAGCTAGAAAGTTGCCATAATCAAGTAATCCTTCAAGAAATCTACCGTAATCCTTCACGAAAGCTAGAAAGTTACCGTAATCAAGTAATCCTTCAAGAAATCTACCGTAAAACTTGCTCTTCAAAAGCTACCGTATTGTCTTTCATAAAAACTGTCTTTCATTCTCGCAAAACTTCAATGTTTTTGATTGGAAAAGCTGATTGAAAAAAAAAGTAAAGCAAATCGAGTTTCAAATTCGTCTAATCAGTCAAAAAAATCGAGAAAAAAAGAGAAAGAAAACGAAAAAACCTATCTTGAGCTTAAATTTGATCAACGAGAATCTATTCGAAAAGTCATAGATCTACAAAAATTCAGTACATGTTCCCATCACGTTCATTCTCTTCTGTGTCTGCTCTGCTCCTCGTTTTCCATCTCAAAATATCCTCTTTCTCTTCTCGAGAATCGGTGACTCACTTCACACTAATCTTTTCCTCAAGCGAAGAAAGGAAAGCAATTCTTTTGCTTTTGTTTTCATTTCCTCGAATCTTCACTTTTCATCGATAAACTTCGCATCAATGTGATTGCTTTAGTCATTTTTTTTCGTTTCAGAAATGTCTAGGCAAGATAGGCAAGATTCTCCATTTTAAGATTCATTTTAAGATCTATTTAAGATCTATTTAAGATCTCCATTTTAGATCCATTTAAGATCCATTTAAGATCTATTGGAGATCCACTTAAGATCTCCACTTAAGATTCATTTAAGACCCATTTAAGATCTCCATTTAAGATCCATTTAAGATCCATTTAAGATCTCCATTTAAGATTCATTTTAAGACCCATTTAAGATCTATTTAAGATCTCCATTTACAGATAGAAAACCTCAAATCCAGTTTTAATCAACGGTCCAGCACCAGCAATGTAAAGTTTATGCGCATCATCCATCACAAGTTGTTCAGGAACACGAGTAACCTAGAAAATGATCTGAGTAACCTAGAAAATGATCTGAGTAACCTAGAAAATGAGCAAATCTAATGATACCAAGAACATTTAAATTGGACAAGCCAACAACAAGATATTGGAGCTCAAAGTTCGATTGCCAATGACAAGGGGGTGCCCCGTTTGCCATTGGCATTGAAATTTGGAGAGTCTGGACATGCTGTTCTGGAAGGCATTAGGTAGATGCCGTTCTGGAAGGCATAGGGCAAAGCTATATTCCTAGGTATTCCAGCTATACTCCTAGCTGTATTCCTAGCTATATTCCTAGCTATTCAAGCTAGGAATTAAAGCCGAATTCAAGCCGAATTCAAGCCGAATTCAAGCTTTAAAACTCCAATATCAAGTACAAGCTTTCTACAAAGCTACGCTCTACAAATCTTCTAACAATCATCTTTCAACTTACATGAACAGCTGAATAGCGAACGCATTTAAAGTAGAGAATCACTTCGTCGAGACGCACCTAAGAGGATTTCAATTTAATAAATATCTAGATATTTATTATTAATATATTAATAATTATTAATAAATATCTAGATATTTATCCATTAAGAAACTTACCGTATTTCCTCTAATAAACGCCCCCGCCCCCTGACCAACTTTGGACGCTTCGTTCTCAGCCCCATTTGGAGATATTTTTATGTTTAATATATCAAAAGATAGAAGACATTAAGGGCTATCTTTTGATATATTAAACATAAAGATATCTCAAAATGGGGCTGAGAACGAAGCGTCCAAAGTTGGTCAGGGGGGGGGGGCGTTTATTAGAGGAAATACGGTATCACCTTGGTTGAAAATGTACAACGGCGTTTCACTAAAAAAGCATACACTCGTTGTTTCCCTTCTTCTCTTATTCCAAATTATGAGACTAGACTTATAGTTTTTTGATTTAAAACCCCTTTTATATCGCCGTATTTACTTTGATCTGATTTTCTGCTATAAAATCCTTTTCCACCCTAAGGCGCATCCGGAATTTCAAAGTCTCTTGAAAATTGTGGAAAGTCCTAGAAGAACCCGTAGTCATCCTTATCAAATTTCGCTCGGTTCTCATCCCCACCACCTTTCCCTTTATCATTCTTTCGCGAACCGTATTAGTAGGGTTTGGAATAAGCTCCCGCCTGGTATCTTCTCGTCTGTAGGAAAATTCAAAGTATCTGTAAACGAATTAGATCTAATTGCCATGTCAAATCTGCCTTATATTTAATCTTTTTGTACCTGTTTTTCCTGACTATCGTCTTACTGTATCTCTAGGTTTCTTTCTTTTTTTGTGAAAGTATTGTAGCAATCATATGCGGTTATGATTATCTGATTCGCTTCTATTCGCCCTCCTGAATAAAGCATATATATATGTTGTGTCCGATTTAGATTTCCGTCCGATTTAGATTGAATCTAAATCGGACGTCCGATATAGACTGTAATCTAAATCGGATGTCCGCGATAAGTTCAATCTAAATCGGACACAATATATATATGTTGTGTCCGATTTAGATTGAACTTATCGCGGACGTCCGATTTAGATTACAGTCTATATCGGACGACTCAATCTAAATCGGACGTCTTATATAGATTGAACAATAATATAAACATGTTTAGTATATGTTCTTAAGCGTTTTCTGTAGTTTTCTGCATTTTCAAAGGTCTTTTATTGATTATTTCATAGTTGGGTTTTCTTTTCAGAAAAAGACAGTAACAGACCTTTGAAAAATGCAGAAAACTACAGAAAACGCTTAAGAACATATATTAAGCATGTTTATATTATTGTTCAATCCATATAAGATTTAGATTGAGTCTAAATCGGACGTCCGATATAGACTGTAATCTAAATCGGACGTCCGCGATAAGTTCAATCTAAATCGGACGTCCGATTTAGATTGAATCTAAATCGGACGGAAATCTAAATCGGACACAACATATATATATATCTAGAGATCTAAATATTAGGTGTGTGAAAAAGTAATCCACGTTTCTTATTTTTATTTTGTTTAAATAAATATATCTAAACAATTTTTGAATTTTTCTTAACGATATAATAGGTTTATGCATAAGTCTTTTTGTTCCTTTTCGTCTGCCCTTTCAAGCCAACAAATGCACCAATTAAACTACGGTTGATTTCATTAGAAAAAGCAATTATTTTTCTGCAAAAAATTTGTTTTGAACAAATTTATAGCGCCAAAACAGCTTATATAATGAATTGAATAACGAAAATACTCAATTTTCACCTTTTTCTCTGCTCCTCGACTTAACATCAAAATTTTGGTGATACCAGTTCAGTTAAAACAGTTAATTGTAATTCTTAATGTTATTAAGTAATGTTAAACGCTATTTTTGCATTAAAGAAATATTGAAAGGCTTTTCCGAACAGAGAAAAGAGGCCAAATGAAAGATTCAGAGAAATGTCGACTAGCACTCATTCAAGCGCTTGTAAAATGATTTCTATAAATCCAATCGAAAAGCTTTTTGTATAGAAATGTAGCTAAGATTAAGGGCTACAATTCTCTAAATAACACTTGGCAATTTTAAAATAAATTTGACATTTTCCAGTTTCACAAAAATGGACGAGTCAGATTCAGAAAAATGTGGACTAATGCCCATTCAAGCGCTTGTAAAATGATTTCTATAAATCCAATCGAAAAACTTTTTGTATAGAAATGTAGCTAAGATTAAGGGCTACAATTCCCTCTTTAACACTTGCCACTTTTGAAATAGATTAGACATTTTCCAGTTTCACAAAAATGGACGAGTCAGATTCAGAAAAATGTCGATTAATGCCCATTCAAGCGCTTGTAAAATGATTTCTATAAATCCAATCGAAAAGCTTTTTGTATAGAAATGTAGCTAAGATTAAGGGCTACAAGTCTCTTTATAACACTTGGCACTTCTAAAATAAAATCGAGACATTTCTCAGTTTCACAAAGATGGGCGAGTCAGAGTCCGAAGAGAGATCGACTAATGCCCATTCAAGCGCTTGTAAAATGATTTCTATAAATCCAATCGAAAAGCTTTTTGTATAGAAATGTAGCTAAGATTAAGGGCTACAAATCTCTATATAACACTTGCCACTTTTGAAATAGATTAGACATTTTCCAGTTTCACAAAGATGGGCGAGTCAGAGTCCGAAGAGAGATCGACTAATGCCCATTCAAGCGCTTGTAAAATGATTTCTATAAATCCAATCGAAAAGCTTTTTGTATAGAAATGTAGCTAAGATTAAGGGCTACAAATCTCTATATAACACTTGCCACTTTTGAAATAGATTAGACATTCCCCAGCTACTTTTAGAAAGAGAAAGGGGACACAATTTAAGAAACAACTGTAATCTTGCTAAGAAAGTCTCCAGCACTCGTTTGAGTATGTAAACACAATGAATGGAAAAAAAGAAAGAAAGAGAAATTAGTGCAATCACAGACTTGTTAATCTTATCCACCTCTAAACTTCAAAATCCTTCTTCTGATAAGCGCTTCTCGAGATTTCGAGGAAATTAGGCAACACTCAGGGTGCACTACTATTAGAGAGAATAAGGTACCCATAAAAAGTGTTCGTAGAAAAAGTTTGCATGGTGATAGATGTATATCTAGATATCTAGTTATCTAGATATCTAGTTATCTAGTTATCTAGTTATCTAGGTATCTAGGTATCTAGTTATCTAGGTATCTAGTTATCTAGGTATCTAGTTATCTAGGTATCTAGGTATCTAGGTATCTAGTTATCTAGTTATCTAGTTATCTAGGTATCTAGTTATCTAGTTATCTAGTTATCTAGGTATCTAGTTATCTAGTTATCTAGGTATCTAGTTATCTAGTTATCTAGGTATCTAGTTATCTAGTTATCTAGTTATCTAGGTATCTAGTTATCTAGTTATCTAGGTATCTAGTTATCTAGTTATCTAGTTATCTAGTTATCTAGTTATCTAGTTATCTAGGTATCTAGGTATCTAGGTATCTAGGTATCTAGGTATCTAGTTATCTAGTTATCTAGTTATCTAGTTATCTAGGTATCTAGTTATCTGGGTATCTAGGTATCTAGATATCTAGTTATCTAGTTATCTAGGTATCTAGTTATCTAGATCAATATCTAGATACCTATCTAGATCAATATCTAGATATCTAGCTAACTAAATATCCAAATAAAAATCCTTATTCATTAACGTACTTCTAAAGCAAACTGAGTCCAGATTTGCTCGAATTGAGGCACGAGGAAAGAGGCGATTGCTCGAGATGAGCCATCCGTACGGGAATTCGAATAGATCAACGAAATATTTGTTTGTGAAGTGCCTAAATCAATAGCTAGTCAATCCTTGATCATTGGATGTTTATTGCATAAATTATCCGACAAACCGGCTGGCTCCAGCAATAATCCGATGTCAACGATGGTGTCAAATGGATTCACCGCCGCGAATAGGTAACCACCCCGACGATCTGATGGTTTCACTGTGACCAGAATTGAGAACTCCTGAAAATTTGGTATCGAAATGGATTTGGTTACATTTGGTTACAGATTTAGTGGAAAGGATTTGTTTTTAAACTCAGCCGAATCGGCATTTTGATATATTTGTCGTAGCCGCTAACGAATGAGGGTATTTCGGGGCATCGAATCAAAAAGTTACCCACATAAAAAATGTTCATAATATTGGGTTGATGCATAATTATCCGGACTTCTTTTTGCGTGCTTGTATCTTTTTTGTTTTGAAAGCTTTTTGTCTATTTCTTTTTTTTAAATATTCGTTATTCTTTAGTGAACAAAATGCGTGTCGACAATCATATCCATCTTCGCCATATCATGCTCTACCACTTCGAAAAGGGATGGTCTGCCGCAGAGTCGTTTCGCGATCTCAAAGAACTTTTTGGTCAAGGAACAATTGGACGTGCAACAGTTTATGAATGGTTCGATCGTTTCACGTCCGCACGTTGAGCGCCATGTCGTCGAATCCATCGCTAGTAAGGGCTGGGATCTTCTTCCACACCCGCCATATTCTCCTACTGAAGCCCCAACGGACTACCACGTCAATCGATCGCTCAAAAATTGGCAAACAAATAAGATCTACAACGATTTGGATGACTTGATAGACGATGTTAAAGCGTGGATTGCCTCCAAAGATCGTTTATTCTTCGCTCGTGGAATCGATCGTCTTCCAAGCAAATGGCAATCAGTTATTGATGTAGGCGGTGAATATGCTCCAGAATAATCAATTAAACATATTTTTCTAACTATTTATGTTATTTTTTGTTAAATAAAATCATTTATAAAAGAAGTCCGGATAATTATGCATCAACCCAATACATATATTTTATAATAAATTTTTTGAAATTAGCTCATTTGGTTTAGTAGAAAATTTTTTTTGAGCCCCCAAAGTTTAGGTTCAAAAATGGCTATAAAAAATTTTCTACTCAGCCAAAAAACTTGCCTAATAGCTCATTTTGTAGCCAATTTGATGTAGTTTCTTAAAGTAAAGCTACATTGAACATTTGTTTTTCAAAGCTAGGAGAAAGAGGGCGAGAAACGACTTCAGTTGAACTCGGTCGCTGTTTTCACATTTGAGAATTTCCCTGAATTTGTTCCTCGCCCTCTTTCTCCTACTTTCAACGAAAAATTGTTTTAGATGGCTTTACTTTAAGAAACTACATCAAATTGGCTACAAAATGAGCTATTAGGCAAGCGGCTACGACATATTAATGTTAACTTTTAGATAGTTCTAAAGAAGACATCAATTCGATCACAGAATACTAATAAAATCAAGAGACATTCTCAAAGTCAAAGCAAAATCACCAATATAAAGTGTTCTTTGGCTCATTATGGATGTTATGGCCAAATTTTCGGTTATCGGCTCAAAGTTAGATTGCCCATGGCGGGGGGAGGCGTATAAAAGGTCCGTTATTGGCAATTAAACTTTGAGCTCAAATATCTTGGTGTTGGGTTGTCCAATTTCAATCTTCTTGGTATCATTAGATGCATCAAGTCTTTCCCTATCGATTGGTACAAAAATGATTGAGATTGGACAATCCAACACCGAGAAATTTGAGCTCAAAGTTGGATTGGCAAAAGAGGCCAGGCGTTAACTTGCCATTGGCAATCGAACTTTAAGCTCAAAGATCTTGGCTTTGGGGTGTCCAATTTATATGTCCTTGGTATCATTAGATTTGTCAAGTCTTTCTCTGTCGATTGGTACAGAAAGTATTTCAATTGGACAACCAAACACCAAGATATGTGAGCTTAAAGCTAGGTTACCAATAGCAAACGGGGCGCCCCCTTCGCTATTGGTAGTCTAACTTTGAGCTCGAATATCTTGGTGTTGAGCTGTTCAATTTCAATCTTCTTGGTATCATTAGATTTGCCAAGTCTTTCTCTGTCGATTGGTATAAAAACTATTTAAATTTGTCAATCCAATACCGAGATATTTGAGCTTAAAGTTGGATTGACAAAAGAGGCGGGGTGTTTGATCCAATCCAACTTTGAACTCAAATTTCTTGGTTTTGGATTGTCCAATCTTAATCATTTTTATACCAATCGATAGAGAAAGACTTGGCGCATCTAATGATACCAAGAAGATTAAAATGGGACAACTCCAAGCCAAGATATTTGAGTTCAAAGTTTAATTGTCCATAGCGAGCGGAGGCGCATATAAAATGTCCCCACAATTCAAATTTTCCGGTCAATTTTTGCCTTAAATTTGGCTGTATTTACAATTTCTGAATCCTGTTAAAGGATTGCGTTACTTCACCATGATCAGCATTACTGAAACAACAGCGAAACAGAGGAAACAATTCGATCTGACTTGAGCGTTTTGTTTCTCAATTTTCTCAGGATTTTTTTACTCCAATCAACCTCTATTTGGTATCATTTAAAAGCCTGAAATCTCCTCTATAAAACTATAGCAAAAGTTTAGAAAAATCTGTTCTCTAGACAAAGTTATGAGCGTTTAAAGTCGTTGTCGTTTGTCGTTTGTCGCAGTCGCTTTTAAGTTACAAAAGTCAAAAGCCAACAGACAAAAGCCAACAGACAAAAGTATTTGGTATCATTTGAAAGCCTGAAATCTCCTCTATAAAACTATAGCAAAAGTTTAGAAAAATCTGTTCTCTAGACAAAGTTCTAGGGCTTTAAAACATACCCTGAAGAATTTCCTCGGCAAATAGAGACGATACGGCGCCGCGATGACAACTCCTCTCTAAAATTTGTTTTTTCTCATAAAATTTCAATAAACCCTTTGATATTTCGTTATTTAAGCTGATAATAGTTTAAAAAAATGAATTTAAGCTGAAAATTGAGTGTTGAGCTCAAATTGAGCGAAATATCAAAGTGTTTTCATTTTCTGTGTGAGTGGGTCATTTTTGAAGCTATTTTTAATATAAAATAATGCTCACTCCATGCAAGAAAGATCAAGAAAAGTAAGGTTTTTAAGAAGAAGAAGAAATTGAAAGAAAATGAAAGAAAATGAAAGAAAATGAAAGAAAATGAAAGAAAATGAAAGAAAATGAAAGAAAATGAAGGAAAATGAAAGAAAATGAAAGAAAATGAAAGAAAATGAAAGAAAATGAAGGAAAATGAAAGAAAATGAAAGAAAATGAAGGAAAATGAAGGAAAATGAAAGAAAATGAAAGAAAAAGGAAGAAAGGAAGAAAGAAAATGAAAGAAAAGGAAAGAATGGAAGAAAGGAAGAAAGAAATGGTATTCTAAGCCCCGTCCCATCGCCAATCTAACTTTAGGCTCAAATTTCTCGGTGCTGGGCTGTTCAATTTTAATGATTTTACTACCAATCGACAGAGAAAGACTTGGCGCATTTAATGATACCAAGCAAAAAGAAAGAAAATGAAAGAAAAAGAAAGAAAAAGAAAGAAAATGAAAGAAAATGAAAGAAAAGAAAGAAAAGAAAGAAAAAGAAAGAAAATGAAGGAAAAGGAAAGAAAATGAAGGAAAATGAAGGAAAAAGAAAGAAAATGAAAGAAAAAGAAAGAAAATGAAAGAAAAGAAAGAAAATGAAGGGAAAATGAGAGGGAAAATGAAAGAAAAAGAAAGAAAGAAAGAAAGAAAGAAAGAAAATGAAAGAAAATGAAAGAAAGAGAAAGAAAAGAAAGAAAATGAAGGAAAAGGAAAGAAAATGAAGGAAAATGAAGGAAAAAGAAAGAAAATGAAAGAAAAAGAAAGAAAATGAAAGAAAAGAAAGAAAATGAAAGAAAATGAAAGAAAATGAAAGAAAATGAAAGAAAAAGAAAGAAAATGAAGGAAAATGAAAGAAAATGAAAGAAAATAAAAGAAAATGAAAGAAAAACTACAAAAAGACACACAAAAGTGATAGAAAATGAAACGTTTTTTAAAGAGAAAAGACTTTTTAAAGACAGCCAATCAAAAGCGGCACACAAAAGGAGATGGAAATGATCGCATTCTCGTGAAAGACGTTTTCTTTCTTTCCTTTTCATCCATTAAAGTGATTCTAGCTTTTTTTTTGATATTGTGATCAAGATTTTTCTAGAGTTTTTCACCAGTAATTCCTTTAGAAATCTAATTCTAAAGAAACCGCAATAGCCGACTGAATAAGAGCCCTGTTTCTTAGCCAATCAAAGCCCCCTGACAGCCAATCAAAGCGGCACACAAAAGAAGATGAACGTTAAAAACTGTGGCTGAAATTTCAGGAGAAACTCGGAATGCAAATATCCGAATATAAGCCTTTCAAATATCCGAATCTAAGCCTTCTATTCAAATTTTTGCCAAATATCTATTCAGTTTCTAAAATAACAACGAGAAAGTGAGAGTTTTGACTGACAAGAAAAAAAAGTCCGGGAGCGGATTCGAACCCTCGAGTACCCGCTCTGTATCCTAACCCGCTAACCACTACACCACGCAGCGAGCAAAGAGACGCAAAATTTGGCAATTTATAAGGCTAACTACGTGAAATCGCTGTGTCTCCAAAAAGAAAAGAGTCACGGAATTCGAACCCCGGACCACCTGCACCGTACTCTAACCCACTAACCACTACACCACGCAGCCACTTTTCCGTGCTGCGTGCCTAAGCCTTATCAAGAGAGGCACACTGTTGGTTTTAAACATTTTCGAAAAATCGTCTTTTAACCAATAAGAGCTCGCTAAAAACGAGGGAGAAAGATGCAGCTGTGGTCTAGGGGATAGTGCGCTGGACTATAAAACCGTTGGGGCCATTGTCGGTGGTGGGTTCGAATCCCACCAGCGAAAAATTTTTGAAAAACAGATAAATCGAATTTTTAACCCTTTTACAGTACTCTTTACAGTACAGTTGTCCAATTTAAATTTTCTTGGCAAAGAATGCCAATGGTAAAAGGGGTGGGGCGCGTATAAAAGGTGCGACATCTGCGCCCCACTCCTTTGTCAATGGCAATCTAACTTTGAGCTAAAATATCTCGGCGTTGGGGTGTCCAATTTAAATGTTCTTGGTGTCATTAAATGCGCCAAGTCTTTCTCTGTCGATTGGTACAAAAATTATTAAAATTGGACAACCCAACACCGAGAAATTTGAGCTTAAAGTTGGGTAGCCAATGGCAAAAAGGGTGGGGCGCGTATAAAAGGTGCGACATCTGCGCCCCGCCCCTTTGCCAATGACAATCTAACTTTGAAAAGTGATAATGAAAAGGATAATGAAAAGGATAATGAAAAGAACTTCTACAGAATCGATCACAATTTCAAAGAAAAGAACAACAATTTCAGGTGATTTATTGGTTTCGTTTCGTTTTTCTTTTTCTTGCAAACTTCCTTGCAAACTTACAAACCAAAAAACGTTGCACAAATCGATCTCTTACCTCCTAAAAGTATTTCAAAATAAATAAACAAAAGAGCAAAAGAAATTTGATATTTCTTTTCGTTTTGTTTCGTTTTGTTTTGGTGTTTTGGCCTTTTCACTGCATTCCAAAAAGCTTTTTCTGCGAAAATCAGCCTCTAATTTTTGCATTCAAAAATGTTTAAGAGATTTTAATTGGAATTAATTGAAATTGATTGAATTTCAATTGAAATTGATTAAAATTGATTAAAATTGAATTAAAATTGATAAAATTGATTGAAATTGATTAAAATTGATTGAAATTGATTAAAATTGATTAAAATTGAGTAAAATTGATTAAAATTGATTAAAATTGATTGAAATTGATTAAAATTGATTAGAATTGATTGAATTTCAATTAAAATTGATTAAAATTGATTGAATTTCAATTGGAATTGATTAAAATTGATTGGAATTGATTGGAATTGAGTAAAATTGAGTAAAATTGATTAGAATTGATTGAATTTCAATTAAAATTGATTGAAATTGATTAAAATTGAGTAAAATTGATTAAAATTGAGTAAAATTGAGTAAAATTGATTGAAATTGATTAAAATTGAGTAAAATTGAGTAAAATTGATTAAAATTGATTAGAATTGATTAAAATTGATTAAAATTGATTAGAATTGAGTAAAATTGATTAGAATTGATTGAATTTCAATTAAAATTGATTGAAATTGATTAAAATTGAGTAAAATTGATTGAAATTGATTGAAATTGATTGAAATTGATTGAAATTGATTAAAATTGATTAAAATTGATTATAATTGATTAAAATTGAGTAAAATTGATTGAAATTGAGTAAAATTGATTAGAATTGATTGGAATTGATTAAAATTGATTAGAATTGATTTGAAATTGATTAAAATTGATTGAAATTGATTGAAATTGAGTAAAATTGATTAGAATTGATTAAAATTGATTAAAATTGATTAGAATTGGTTAAAATTGATTGAAATTGATTGAAATTGATTGAAATTGATTAAAATTGATTGAATTTCAATTAAAATTGATTAAAATTGATTAAAATTAATGAAAATTGATTAAAATAGAATTAATAGAACCAAATATCGTTTCAAACCTGTATCCCGATAGCCGGTAGCCCATCAATCCCTCTCGCTCGAAACACTCTCTCATCCGTGTTCAGTGATGATTCCACTGGCACAAGCAGATCGACTTCTGTGTCTTCATCTAAAAACAAAGCTTTCCTTGATGAGCTCAAACATTTGTTCTTATTTAGTTCCTTTCTACTTCCTTTATAGTTCCTATTTAGTTCCTAGGTTGCCAATGGCAAACGGCACCCCTTCGCTATTGGTAGTCTAACTTTAAACTCAGATATCTTGGTGTTGAGTTGTCCAATTTCAATCTTCTTGGTATCATTAGATGCATCAAGTCTTTCTCTATCGATTGGTATGAAAATGATTGAGATTGGACAACCCAACACCGAGAAATTTGAGCTCAAAGTTTGGGTGCCAATGGCCCACAATCAAATGTCCATTAATCTTGAATTTTACAGCTTTTATCCTAGTTTTTAGATATTGCTTTGGATAGAGTTAAGCTAGAATTAATGAATAACCTAATAATAACCTAATAAAGTCGTTTCGACTACTTTTTCCCTTATCTTTACCAAGAGAAATGCCAAGGGAATTTACAATTTTTCTTTTTTTAATTGGCGAGACAAAGATACTCGAGTTTTGTCCTTGATTACTATTTACTATTACCAAAGTATTGAGGTTTTTTTGGCTCATAGCTCCTCCAATCCTCATTCCCATCATCCAATCCTCATTCCAATTCTCCAATCCTCATTCCCATCCTCATTCCCTCTTTCCAATCCTCATTCTTTCCCAAAAGGTCATCTCATTCTCAAGTTTTATAACAAAAATGGTCGTAAAAACGCGTAAAACCCATAAAGATTAACGGGGAAATGGGGAAAACTTTTTGTCTTTGTTTTAACAAAAAAGAGGAAAGATTGACCCTCAAAATGCTTAAAGGATTAGGCTCGTTTCCCCATTTTCTTTTCAACTTTCCCCCTCAATGATCACTTTCCAAAATAAACCTTTTCTAATATTTCTCTTTCCCTATCTCTTTCTCTTCCTCTTCCTCTTTCTCTTCCTCTTTCTCTTCCTCTTTCTCTTCCTCTTTCTCTTCCTCTTTCTCTTCCTTTTCCTCTTTCTCTGTCTCTTTCTCTTTCCTCTTTCCCTGTCTCCTTCTCCTTCTCTTTCCTCTTTCCCTGTCTCTTTCTCTTTCTCTTCCTCTTCCTCTTCCTCTTCCTCTTCCTCTTCCTCTTCCTCCTTCATCTTTCTTCTAATCCTCAAGAAAATGAAAAGCAGAATCTTTTGAAAAATCTGAAATCATTGTTGGTAGATTTTGCTTAAAAAGTGATCAATTGATGCAAAGAAATCAAGTATCTATGCTTAAACAGAATTGAAATGCAGAATTGAAAGCTTAATTAATTCATAGCCTCCTTAATTGAAAGCAAGTGCTATTCTTTTTATGTTTAAGTCAAAAAGTAAAAGAATTTGTCAAAAAAGAATACTTTGTCATGAAAAGGAGTCGAAGATAAAAAAGTCAGATAAGAGCCAGATAAGACCCAGGCTTCGGTCTAGAGCCAGATAAGACTCAGGCTTCGGTCTAGAGCCAGATAAGACTCAGGCTTCGGTCTAGAGCCAGATAAGACCCAGGCTTCGGTCTAGAGCCAGATAAGACCCAGATTTCAGTCTAGAGCCAGATAAGACCCAGATTTCAGTCTAGAGCCAGATAAGACCCAGGCTTCGATCTAGAGCCAGATAAGACCCAGGCTTCGGTCTAGAGCCATCTCCAGCCATTATTGGCTCTTTATTAGTGTTATTAGTGTAGTTTGTACTCAAAAATAAGCAAATGAATGCTTCAAATGCTTAAAATGCATTGAAATTTCCATTCTTCAAACCAAAACGTTTCTAGGAAACAAAACGCTAAAAAAAGGTTTTATTTACTAAAAAAAACCTCAAAGTACACAAGTTTTTGGTTTAATTTTTTATAAATTTCGTCTTTTCCCAAATTTTGGAATGTTTTTTATGTGTTTTTCAAGAGAAATTTCTCCTTTTCGAATTTCTGAGTTCCCTTGGGATTTTGCTTTGCTTTTTTTGTGGGTGAATCAAAGGGAAGTGCGCAAAAAAGCGGCAAGAAAAGTGAAGAATTGAACACCGAGGTTTTAGAGTTTCAAAAAAATGAAGTACTTCGAACATTTTAAAAACCTAACAAGAACCGGTTTTTAAATCAAAAGAATTGAAAGGCCAAAGGCATTGAAATCCGAGTTCCCATTGGGCACGCAATGAAATGAATGGCGCCAATCGATTCGCCGACCCCGAAAACCCCCGGGTACAAACTCTTAGCTGAATATCTTCATTTAGGCCCTAAGCAAAAGAGAAATCCTGACTGCCCCTTATAGCGGCTGCCATAGATAAGCACAGTTTGTCAGTGGCCGGACTCGAACCTACCAAAATTCACCGGCACTAGTTTTATAGTCCAGCACCCTATCCATTAGGCCACCGCTGCCCTTTGTTCAGCCCCTTGTAAAGAGCTCTTATTGACTAGGAAGCGGTTTTTTTGAAAATGCTTAAACCAACAGTGTGCCTCTCTTTATAAGGCTTATGCACGGACCACGGGGAAGTGGCCGCGTGGTGTAATGGATAGTGGATTGGGATACAGAGCAGATACTCGAGGGTTCGAATCCGTTCAGTGTTTTTGCTTTTTGAAAACACAGCGATTTCACTTAGTCAGCCTTATAAATTGCCAAATTGTGCGCAATTTCGAATAATTTTGTTTCTCTTTGTACTTTACCTGTCTCGAATTCGATTGGATTCGCGAAACCATCGAAACCGTTTGAAATGGTGAAAAAGTAAAAAAATAGGGAAAAAAGCAAGAATCGCATCGTTTTTTTCCGTTTTTTTCACATAGCTTTCGTTATTGGGAATATCCGGGAAAATGATTGGAACATTTGGGGAATCTGGAAGTGCAAATTGAAAGGGTTTATAGCAGAAAGTATAAGGAAATCGAGTCAATAAACGATTTTCTCAATAAACAATTAGTCAATAAACGATTTTCTAATCGAAATTGATTCAATAAACTTATAAAATGTTTCAATAGAATAAAAGAAATGAAAGAAATGAAAGAAAATGAAGATTTTCGAGATTTAAAGTATAGCAATTCATAGAGAATTGAACAAAGCTTTTGAATGGAAAAAGGAAAGAGAAAAAGAGAAAGAGACAAAACTCTTCAATGTCCTTCAAAAGTGAGGAGAAAGGATGAGAAGGGGAAGGAGAAGAGGAAGAGGAAGGGGAAGGGAAGGGGAAGGAGAAGAGGACGGAGAAGAAGAAGAAGAAGAGGAAGAAGAGGAAGGAGAAGAAGAGGAAGGAGAAGAAGAGGAAGGGGAAGGGAAGAGGAAGAAGAAGAGGAAGAAGAAGAGGAAGAAGAGGAAGAGGAAGAGGAAGAGAAAGGAGAAGAAGATGAATCTCGAGGGGAATATTGGGCAAGCGGCAGGTCACTCGGCTTCACCAAGAGGCTTCTATTTACATTCAAAAACATCATTGATACAATCTGATAACACTTTTTTGAACTTCTGAAGATCGTGAAGCCTGCACTTTGTTTCAAATCGAGAGAAAAACCAAAGAAATCGAGAAAAACCAAAGAAATTAAGCCACCCGAGACAAAAACCAAAGAAATCAAGTCACTTTAAAAAGTCATCTCAAATTTTGAGTCAAATCGAACAGTTCTTTAGCCCCCAGGCTTCTGGTTAACCATCACAAGCGAGTCAGCAGTAAAATCATGCTCAGGAAAACATCTAAATGTTTGAGTCTTAACTCAAAATTGGTTTTGAGATGAGCTTAAGCCGATTGAGGACTCTGACTTGCCCATTTTTGTGAGGCTGGGAAATGTCAAATTTATTTTAAAATTGCCAAGTGTTATATAGAGAATTGTAGCCCTAAAGCTTGGCTACATTTCTCTACCAAAAACTTCCCGATAGGATTTGTACAACTCATCTGACAAGCGCTTGAATGAGCGCTAGTCGATCTCTCTTTGGACTCTGACTCGTTCATTTTTGTGAAGCTGGGAAATGTCGAATCTATTTCAAAAGTGCCAAGTGTTATATAGAGAATTGTAGCCTTTAATCTTGGCTACACTTTCCTGCCAAAGCTTTCTCAATAGGATTTATACAACTCATCTGACAAGCGCTTGAATGCTAGTCGACATCTCATCTCGACAGATTTACCCGAGAGATGTCGACTAGCATTCAATGGCTTGTAAGATGAGCTGTATAAATCCTATTGAGAAAGCTTTGGCAGGAAAGTGTAGCCAAGATTAAAGGCTACAATTCTCTATATAACACTTGGCACTTTTGAAATAGATTCGACATTTCCCAGCTTCACAAAAATGAACGAGTCAGAGTCCAAAGAGAGATCGACTAGCGCTCATTCAAGCGCTTGTTAAATGAGTTGCATAAGTCCAATCAAGAAGTTTTTGGTAGAGAAAGTGTAGCCAAGATTAAGGGCTACAATTCTCTATATAACACTTGGCACTTTTGAAATAAAATCGACATTTCCCAGCTACATTTTCAAAAGTTGTCGCTAGAATTCGCGGTCACCATTTATTAGAAGCATACTTTCTAAAGTACTTAAAGAAAAGCTATTTATAAATAAATTCTTGAGACAAAAGGAGAAGTTAGCTTTGATAGGAAAGATCAAAGTGCCAAAGAAGTGCCAAGAAAGTGCCAAGAAAGTGCCAAAAAAGTGCCAAATCGTTTTTTTGCTATACTTGAAAGTAGAAGAAGATGAATCTTAAGGGGCCCATTGGGGAAAGGGTCATCCTTTCCCCTCCTTTTCCCTCCTTTCCCTCAAATTCCCCATTTCCCTCTTTTGCCTAGGGATTTGTGTTGTTTTGTCTTTTCCCCAAAGTTTCGAGACAATAAATCCCAGTCTTTTCTACTTTTTCCACTAAGGATTAGCAAAAATTGATGGATTTTGAAGGGAAAGGAAATTGCTTTTTAAGAAAATTGCTGTTTTGTCTTATTTTAATGTGAGTTATTGAGAGATTTCTTGGATTTTAGCAGAAAATCTATTGAACTTTTGACAGAAATTAGCCTACCATAAATTTTTAACATTACATTGCCCTTTTTCTATTACAATAATTCTTCAACAAAGTGAATTGTTGTTGAA